TGTCGAATCAAAATGTCTGCTGATATTCAATAGGTTTCCTTCTCCTAAAACAAGTTTTAAATCATTTTTGTTTGTAGCTTTCAGTGAATGAATAATATAAATGAGAAAACATGTTTTTCATAATCTCCACCCAGACTGATATTAAACAGGAAATAAAATGTGTCAAAGCAGAGTTTTATTGGGATCCAGATGATCAAGGCACAAGTGGCAGAGGAGTCCGGATTTGATCACTTTACAAAACAAAAACACAAACTAGTTTCTAGTCAGTTTACATGTAAATACAGGACAAGATCTTCCACCGTAATGAGTTTTAAAACTGTTTATATTCACAGCATAAAAAAAGAATTGGGGCAGGGTATGAATCAATCACAGGGTATAGAAATGTTTATAGGCAACAGGAATTTTAAATGGCTCTGTTTTCAATCCTGACACCGGGACAGAACTAACCCAAAGTAACAGGGTTCTGATCAGTGTGAGCAGCTGTGGCCAGGCTTACTACATTACACCACGTGGCTCACGCGGCGATGTATAAGGGTAAAACTGGTCAATGTTACAAATATGCCATGGATAAACACAGAAGCAACACTCTACAGACACAGCTTAAGAGGTGACTCAGTAATGATCATTTAAAATTATCATGGTGGGGAAAAAGTCTTTTTACACATCTCACTGTAAATATTCCTGTTTATATGTTTGAGTTTTTCATTTTCCCTATTCTAGATGTTTGGTTTTCACGTTATATTCTGTTACACTTCAGCCTTTTACAGCTGATTTAATGTGCTGACTGATAAGAATCAGCTGAGAGGCGTTCGGTGTGGTCTAAGACACTTATTACTGCGAGGTTCCACAGAAATGGACACCATGCCAACTAACTGGAGGCTATTCAATCCAATTCAATTCAATTCAAGTTTATTTATATAGCGCCAAATCACGACAAGAGTCGTCTCAAGGCACTTCACATAATAAACATTCCAATTCAGGTCAGTTCTTTAAGCCAATCAGAAATAAAGTTTCCTATATAAGGAACCCAGCAAATTGCATCAAGTCACTGACTAGTGTCTCAGCAAGCATAAAGCGACAGTGGAGAGGAAAACTCCCTTTTAACAGGAAGAAACCTCCAGAGGATCCTGGCTCAGTATAAGCAGCCATCCTCCACGACTCACTGGGGATCGAGAAGACAGAGCAGACACACACACACACACACACACACACACACACACACACACACACACACACACACACACACACACACACACACACACACACACACACACACACACACACACACACACACACAAGTAATGTGTCTATAGTTATATTGTGTTGTCTTAGTAAATATTCTATTTGGCGAGAGATAAACTTTATTGTATTTATCCTAGTGAATCTATTGTTCTCGTCTCTCTCGTCTTCCTCCGCTTATCCGGGTCCGGGTCGCGGGGGCAGCATCCCAACTAGGGAGCTCCAGGCCGTCCTCTCCCCGGCCTTGTCCACCAGCTCCTCCGGCAGGACCCCAAGGCGTTCCCGGACCAGATTGGAGATGTAACTTCTCCAACGTGTCCTGGGTCGACCCGGGGGCCTTCTGCCGGCAGGACATGCCCGAAACACCTCCCCAGGGAGGCGTCCAGGAGGCATCCTGACCAGATGCCCAAACCACCTCAACTGGCTCCTTTCGATCCGGAGGAGCAGCGGTTCTACTCCGAGTCCCTCCCGAATGTCCGAGCTCCTCACCCTATCTCTAAGGCTGAGCCCGGCCACCCTACGGAGGAAACTCATTTCGGCCGCTTGTATCCGCGATCTCGTTCTTTCGGTCATTACCCAAAGCTCATGACCATAGGTGAGGATTGGGACGTAGATCGACCGGTAAATCGAGAGCCTGGCTTTCTGGCTCAGCTCCCTCTTCCCCACGACAGATCGGGTCAGCGTCCGCATCACTGCAGACGCCGAACCAATCCGCCTGTCGATCTCCCGATCCCTCCTACCCTCACTCGTGAACAAGACCCCGAGATACTTAAACTCCTCCACTTGAGGTAGGACCTCTCCCCCGACCCGGAGGTGGCAAGCCACCCTTTTCCGGTCGAGAACCATGGTCTCAGATTTGGAGATGCTGATCCTCATCCCAGCCGCTTCACATTCGGCCGCGAACCTACCCAGCAAGAGCTGAAGGTCAGAGCTGGATGAAGCTAGGAGGACCACATCATCCGCAAAAAGCAGAGACGAGATTCTCCTGCCACCAAACTCGACACACTCCACACCACGGCTGCGTCTAGAAATTCTGTCCATAAAAGTGATGAACAGAACCGGTGACAAAGGGCAGCCCTGGCGGAGTCCAACCCTCACTGGGAACAGGTCCGACTTACTACCGGCTATGCGGACCAAACTCACGCTCCTCTGGTAAAGGGACTGAATGGCCCTTAACAGAAAGCCACCCACCCCATACTCCTGGAGCGTCCCCCACAGGGTGCCCCTGGGGACACGGTCATAAGCCTTCTCCAAATCCACAAAGCACATGTGGATTGGTTGGGCAAACTCCCATGCCCCCTCCATCACCCTTGCAAGGGTATAGAGCTGGTCCACAGTTCCACGGCCAGGACGAAAACCACATTGCTCCTCCTCTATCTGAGATTCAACTATCGATCGGACCCTCCTCTCCAGTACCTTGGAGTAGACCTTTCCAGGGAGGCTGAGGAGTGTGATCCCCCTATAGTTGGAACACACCCTCAGGTCACCCTTCTTAAAGATGGGGACCACCACCCCGGTCTGCCACTCCCTAGGAACTGCCCCCGATGACCACGCAATGTTGTAGAGACGTGTCAACCATGACAGCCCTACAACATCCATAGCCTTAAGATACCCAGGACGAACCTCATCCGCCCCCGGGGCTCCGCCGCTGTGTAGTTGTTTGACTACCTCAGCAACTTCTGCCCCCGAGATCGGACAGTCCATCCCCAGGCCTCCCAGCTCTGGTTCCTCCTCGGAATGCGCATTGGTGGGATTGAGGAGCTCCTCAAAGTATTCCTTCCACCGTCCGACTATAGCCTCAGTTGACGCCAGCAGCTCCCCATCCCCACTGTAAACAGTGTGAGCGAGTTGCTGCCTTCCTCTCCCGAGGCGCCGGACAGTTTGCCAGAACCTCTTTGGAGCCGATCGATAGTCTTTCTCCATGGCCTCACCAAACTCCTCCCACGCCCGAGATTTTGCCTCGGCAACTGCCACTGCTGCACCCCGCTTGGCTATCCGGTACCTGTCTGCTGCCTCCGGAGACCCACAGACCAGCCACGCCCTGTAGGCCTCCTTCTTCAGCCTGACGGCTCCCCGAACCTCTGGTGTCCACCAGCGGGTACGGGGGTTGCCACCACGACTGGCACCGGCCACCTTACGACCACAGCTAGCAACAGCCGCCTCGACAATCGCAGAGTGGAACAAGGCCCACTCGGACTCAATGTCCCCCACTGCTCTCGGGACGTGGTCAAAGCTCTGCCGGAGGTGGGAGTTGAAGACCGTCTTGACAGGTTCTTCTGCCAGGCGTTCCCAGCAGACCCTCACTATGCGTTTGGGTCTGCCAGGTCTACGCGGCATGTTCCCTTGCCATCTGATCCAACTCACCACCAGGTGGTGATCAGTTGACAGCTCCGCCCCTCTCTTCACTCGGGTGTCCAAAACATACGGTCGCAGGTCAGATGATACGACTACAAAATCTATCATCGACCTGTGACCTAGGCTGCCCTGGTACCAAGTGTACCGGTGGGCATCCTTATGTTCGAACATGGTGTTCGTTATGGCCAAACTGCGGCTTGCACAGAAGTCCAATAACAAAACACCGCTCGAGTTCTGATCAGGTGGGCCGTTCCTCCCAATCACACCCCTCCAGGTCAAGCTGTCATTGCCCACGTGAGCATTGAAGTCCCCCAGCAGGACAATGGAGTCCCCTGATGGAGCACTATCTAGCACTCGTCCCAGGGACTCCAAAAAGGGTGGGTACTCTGAACTGATATTTGGCCCATAAGCACAAACAACAGTCAGGACCCGTTCCCCGACCCGAAGGCGCAAGGAAGCTACCCTCTTGTCCCCCGGGGTAAACCCCAACACACAGGCAGAGAGTCTCGGGGCTAACAAAAAGCCAACCCCAGCCCTCCGCCTCTCACCCGGAGCAACTCCAGCAAAGTAGAGTGTCCAACCCCTCTCCAGGTCTCGGGTTCCAGAGCCAATGCAATGTGTCGAGGTGAGTCCGACTATATCTAGCCGGTACCGCTCAACCTCTGCCACAAGCTCCGGCTCCTTCCCCGCCAGCGAGGTGACGTTCCATGTCCCAAAAACTAGTTTCCTTGTCCGGGGATTGGACCGCCAAGGCTCCCGCCTTGGTCTGCCACCCGATTCACATTGCACCGGACCCTTCATGTTCCTCCTGCGGGTGGTGGGTCCACAGTTGGACGAGCCCATGTATCCGGTTCGGGCTGGGCCCGGCCGGGCCCCATGGGCGAAAGCCCGGCCACCAGGCGCTCGCTCACGGGCCCCAACCCCAGGCCTGGCTCCAGGGTGGGACCCCGGTAACCCTCCGGGCCGGGTACTCCGACTCTTCGTTTTCACCACCATGAAAGATCCTTCTATTGTTAAATGGGTAAACTAGTAGTAGCACATCCAACGTCAAGGAAAGCAAAAAGTTATTATCAGGAGAGGGAGAATGTTTAAGTGGTTAGCAGCAGTGTGCTAGTTGATGGCTACTGGTCATATAAACCACAACAAAGCAGAGATTTTAATGAAATGCTGCGATTCGTTCTAGGTGTTAACTCTCTTGACGTTTACCTAAAGATAGCATGTACAGTGCTTAAAGACTCAGACGTGGTGTTGTTTCATCTTTCCATTCTTAGGAAATTCAACCAGCTCTCACCACTGTAGCCATGTTCAGCTGTGGTCAGAGGATTACTCCTCATGTTCATGTACTTTGACTCTTAATGGTCAGAATCCTTCTGTTTCCCGCTTCAGCGAGTTTAAAAACAAAAAACTGGATTCATGACATTTATTTATTGTGGATTTTCTTTCCAGAGGCCAGAATTATTCATGCAGACTCAAAAATAACATATCATTCATTTAAATCTGTTAAAAATGAAGGTTCCTAGAAGGGCTTTTAACTTAAAAAGACTTGTGAACTTCCTATCAGTGGTCCTGACTTCAGCTGCTAATTTTGCTTTGCAGAACAAAAAGGATTTGATGGACAGCTGGACTGACCAACACATCTGTCGCTCGGTTCCTGTCGTCTTTAGAAGTAAAAGTTTAGATTGGAGCTTTCAGCACGATCAGCTGGAACAAAGAAAACTGAAAATTGATTTTAACAAATTACAAACAGTCCGATTCCTTTTACAACAAACTTAAAATGGTTTATAAGCCAAACAATCCTAGGAATAAATAGCAGCTTCATCTGTGTGAACAAGGAAAAACTAACTTTGTGTACTTTAAGTACATTTGAGTTAAAAGTGACAGTGTGTATTTTTCCTGGCGATAGGGGGCAGCACATACCTAAATCATTGCAAACAAGCAATATTTTTGTGTTAGAGGAAGATCGTACCAACGGAGGGGCATTAGGGTCAAAAAGTCCTGGGGAGTGCAAACTTTAGCAAAATAACGAGCACATCAGACCCTTTCATCACTGTGAACGAGTGAAAAGGTAAACTTGTAAAACGTTTATGAACGGTGAAAGTTTTGTAACCATTTGTTACAAATCAGTAAATGTATTTTGTCCTCATGGGCTCCCGTAGAAGGAAACGTGGCGTCTAATATGGCGTCGCCCAGAGACTTAGACCCGCTGCCATGTATTTTAGACCTGATTTTTATGGTTCAATGTTACGAAGCTGCAAGTATTTTTCAATACCTTGGCATTTCATTAATTTTCAACATTTTGATGGATATTTCCAGAAATGAATGGTAAAAAAACTACACATTGTTACTTTAAGCAGATCTAACTGAGTGCATTTGCTATTATTTACAGTTTATCATTAATTTTATGAGTTTTATTTGTTCACAGGTTAATTATTTACCTTTTCATGTTTTCTTTAGTGAAACAGCCAACTGGTCATGTGGTCCAGAACCAGTGAAACCTTTTAAAGCTCACCAGGATCTGTCCCAACGCCAAACCTACTAGCTGCTATGAATCACAGAGTTCTCTAAAGTGAAATCGTAATGAAAACTAGTCAGGTTCGAGTTCATGTCACGAGACATCAGCACATCAGGAACCACGGGGAATCCTGCCTGTAGGGCGAGCACATGAGGAGCCAATGTGAAGGGGACATCTCCGAGGAGATCCGGGAGGGTTGGAGCGGCCTGGGAGGCTGGAGGTCCATGTCCTGGTGCTGGGTGGGTAACAGGTGCAGGAAGCATTCCATCACTGGGCTGAGTTGGTGAGGGACAGGACGGCTGGGGGAAGACATTATGACATAATTTAAAAAATTAATCCAGAAGCAGGAATGATTCTCCAAAGGGACTTTTGACTACTGCAGGTTCCCACTTGGCTGAGGATGACTTGGTTTAAGGTTCTCAGTCATCTAGGTCATTGTAGTCTAATGAGCTTTGAAAGAAAAGCGTCTGGACTTCTTTGAGTTGCTTGAAGACGCCCAGCAACACACTCAGACAGAAACTGGTTCACCCGAAAGACAAAACTCCTAAACACAAACGGAACAATGTGGTGTATGCTGTACAGTGCAGCGAGGAATGCCCAGACCTCTACATCGGAGAAACCAAACAGCCACTTCACAAGCGCATGGCACAACATAGAAGAGCCACCTCCACGGGACAGGACTCAGCAGTTCATTTGCATCTAAAGGACAAAGGTCACTCTTTCGAGGATGCCAACGTTCACATTTTGGACAGAGAGGACAGATGGTTTGAAAGAGGAGTAAAGGAAGCCATTTATGTCCACTGTGAGCAACCATCTTTGAACAGAGGTGGTGGTTTACGACACCAACTGTCTGCCATCTATAATCCAGTTTTGAGATCCCTTCCCAGATGCCTCAATGCCCATGCATATCCTGGGCCATCTGACCTCAGGAATTCACATGATAGGGTGGGGCCAGGTTTCACAATGAGCTCACCCGAAACTCTGGCTGAACAGGACCCACACCCACCCTCACACCTTGGCTCATGTGTTTATGTAGAAGATCATCAGGGGGTCTTTTGTTCCCTCTTCCGGGGGGAAACTCCCACTGGGTTTAAATCTGGGACTCTCCACCATTTGACCTTAGAACTGAAGAAGCCCCTCGGATGAGAGGTGAAACGTCTTCAAGCAACTCAAAGAAGTCCAGACGCTTTTCTTTCAAAGCTCATTAGATGACTTGGTTACTAATGTGCAGCTCTCCTCTGAGAGATAAGCTGCAGGACTAACATTCATCACAGCGCATGGACCTTGAGCAGCTCACCTTTGATGGCTGCACGATGACATTAGTAGAGGGCTGTGTGACGCTCTTGGGAGGCATCCTCCTCCTCCGTTCTTCTGCTGTTTCTCCTACAGATTAAAAGATGGAAACAGAAGACACATTCTATCCACAACCAGAATATCAAGTAATTACAATAAAAGCCACGTAGAGGTGTAAAGGGTCGTCAGATCAGGAGCTGGGGCCTCTTTTATAAAACTTGGTGTCGATGATTTTTGAAGTCAAAGTCCCATTAGTCATCACACACTGGTGAAATTCATCTCCACATTTGACCCATCCCTGTGGGGAGCGGCGAGCTGCAGCTGTGGCTGCGCTCAGGAACTATATGGTGGTTTAACCCCCAATCCAAGCTCTTAAAGCTGAGTGTCAAGCAGGGAGGCATTGTGTTCCATTTATAAAGCCTTTGATAGGACCCGACTGGGATTTGAACCCCAATCTCCCAGTTCCAAGGTGGACACAACACTGAGAAGTGCTGTACTGATTAGCGTTTTATAATCTGTGAGAACAGAACTAGAATTCCTCTAAATGTCATTTATTGTTGGTTCAAGCTCAGATCCATTTTAAGCTTAGGCTGAGCACAAAGCTGTTTTAGGCACCTGCTCAGGGGTGTGTCATCTGACATGGTTCTCCTCAAATGTTTGTTGTTGTTTTTTTCTCCTTCCAATGTGTTTGCTGCACAAACTGACAAACTGTTAAATCATAACAATACAATTTGCTGTTTCTGCCAGAAAGAAACTCTGCTGGTACTCTCTCACTGATCTGGATGCAGAATGTACTCGCCGATGTCTGGAAAACACTTTTCCACCTCGACTGGATGCAGTCGTTCCTGAGCATTTTATTTTTCTTTTCATCAGACTGACCTGAGTAGCATTATCCAGCAGCACAGATCCTGCGTCACACACAGCTGCCTCACATCAAAACAAACTTGGAGCCTCTTCCTGTTTCTGGGTTCTGATGACCAGATCTGTAAACCCCGCCTGTCTAAAACCACCAGAACAGTGTTGACTCAAACTGTAGAGCTAGAGTTAATAGACACTGTGGTAGCAGTAAATCTGTTGAGTTAGATAGACTTCATATTGAAACAGGAAGTTAATGTTTGCGGTTTCCTCTGGCTGACTCTAGAGCCTAGACCTTATTTTCCGCATATTCCACATTTAGTTCTCATCGCCCCATCCGTGTCACACACTGGGAGGGAAAACAGCGGAAGTGATGGAGGAACCTTTGTGAACAGAACACTTTTTTAACAAGTTTTATTTAACCAATGAAGCTTACAGGCTTACATAAGAATCAATATTTACAGTTGAATTCTGAGCATGACAAAAAAGCAGGTGTACAAACAGAAACAATAATATTAATCTAGCTCAATATCAATGAACAGAACACATTTTCAACAGAACAATCATGATCGCTCTTACCAACGACGACAAAGCCTCCATCAACGTCCTTCTCGGCTGCTGACTTCTTTGAGTCTTTACGTAGTCCGAAAAAGTTTAACATGATTTTACTTCAACAAACAGAAAAACACAACGTCAGACCAACAGCAGAAGTTAAGACGGTGATGCATTTGAAGAGCTTCTGGACGGAAGCATACGGATATGGACTTTGCTTTCAAAAACGCCAAGCTAAACATTTAACTTGGTTTACTTTAAAGTTCTTCGATCGGTTACATGTGAAAAAGCGATTACGTGACGCGCTTACCGTGGTGTGAAGTGTATGAGTCCGCTGTTAGATCATGGCTCCTCTGGATGATGTTCTAGCTAATTCGGTGCCACTCGATTGTAGTGTAGCGGAACTGTTTACTGTCGTTTCTGGGGAATGAAATCCCGGAGTGCAGCGGATATGTCGTAAGAATCCGTATGCGCGCTTGGTTTATTAACCAAGTAAAAGTAAGCCGTCGTTGAAGCATTCGTGCTATTACACTGTGAGCGTGGTAGCTCCGCCCGCGCGGGCTACTCTAATACTACAAACAGCATCCATATAGTTTCCCGCGTTGTCTCTTGAGCTTCCTGTCGCCAATAAGTCAAGCCGCGAAGATGGCAAGTATCGTGGACGTCCCAAAGCCCAGAATTAACTGTTCTATGCTGTCGCAGCACATCAACCGACCGGTTTGCTTCGTTGGTCGAGTCGGACAGGTCAGATTACCCTGCGTGCATCTTTAGTCACGGTGTTTTCACGTAAACCGTTCGGTTGATGATCTGTTGTTCCACAGGTTCACCCCAATGGGAAAACGTTCACCGTCTCCGATGGAGAAGGAAACACCGCGACGGTAGAGCTGAACGAACCTGTGAGTACACCACACCGCAGTCCACTGGTGGGAACTCCGGCTCGTTTAAGAGAACCGGCTCTTATGGCTCGGTTCACTAAAATGAACCGGCTCTTTTGGCTCTCAAACAACTCCTCACTTTTTGTTGTTTTAATTAATCAACAGAAATTATGTAATTATTGACCAATTTACAAACTTGCATTAAATCAATTTTAGGCGGTTTTGCCTCGTTTTTAGCACCCCTAGTGCCTGTTTAGTAGAACCAAAAGCAAAACTTAAATCCTCTTGGTGTGAAATGTCTCCGCAGCCGTGATTAGTGTCCACAGAAGGGATTCGTTACTAAATCAAACATGTCAGATCTGTTTATGATCTAAAACATCCAGGAAACGTGCTGGAAGCAGACTGCAGCACCAGGTTTGTCAGCTAAAACAGGGGCCTGCCACACTGAAGTTGTGGTATTCTGGCTACAGAGGGCGATGGGATCTGAGTGACTTTCCATTAATCATGTAAAGGGACAACACATCATTACAGTTCACCACTGGGCTGCTGCTCAGATTTTTATTTGCATACATTTCTGAGAGCCATTTTTCGGTTTTGGGCTGTGGCGCAGTGGTTAGAGCTGTTGCCTTGCAGCAAGAAGGTCCTGGGTTCGCTTCCCAGCCTGGGATCTTTCTGCATGGAGTCTGCATGTTCTCCCTGTGCATGCGTGGGTTCTCTCTGGGTTCAAAAGACGTGCACGTCCAAAGACCTGACTGTTAGGTTAATTGGTCTGTCTAAACTGTCCTTAGGTGTGTGTGTGCGCGCATGATTGTTTGTCCTGTGTGTCTCTGTGTTGCCCTGTGATGGACTGGTACTCTGTCCAGGGTGTACCCCGCCTGATTGCCCATTGACCGCTGGAGATAGGCACCAGCCCCCCGCAACCCTACGTGGACAAAGCAGGTTCAGACAATGGATGGATGGATGGATCATTGACTACGTTTACATGCAGCCAATATCCGGGTTATGATCGGGTTAAGGTCGGTATTCGGGTTTCTGAGTTGATCAGAATAACCCGTTTACAAGCATTCTTGTTCTTCTTGTTCCGGTATCCGTGAAAACAACAACATGTTTCCCAGTTCAGAAGAGATAGTGACCGCATTTGTTTGCGCTTTAGTTTCCTCATCACTCAAAGTGTGGTGCTGTGCCGCGACTCGCCATGTTGCTCCCAACTTGTTGTTTACTTCCGGTGTTCTGGTGCATACAAGACGTCTCGCTACTCAAAAGACCAAGATTCCTTGTGAACAGAGCATGCACAGAACACACGCTTTGATGGGGATATCCTGGTATGCGTTTACACGACCAAACATTCGGGTTAGAAAAGGGTTACCCCAGGTGTAGTAACCGGGTTTTTAAAAACACGGTTATGAGCATATCCGGGTTTTTGGCGGTGTTTACATGGCCGTGCGGAACCGGGTTATTGTGAATATTCGGGTTTTAAAAGGGTTACTGGCTGCATGTAAACGCACTGATTCAGTTTCGTTCCACTTCACAATTAAGTGCTTTTTTTTGTTTAGGTCCATCACAGAACATCGTAATAAAAAACATTGAAGTTCGTGGTTCGGTGTCAAAATGTGTAAAGATTCAAGAGATATGAATACTTTAGCTATGCATTGTAACCCAACCCACATAACTTGGCAACTATAAACTGACACAAGTTTAGTGCGGTTTATCCACATTTATTTTTGCAAAACTTTAACGGCTTTGTTTTACGTATTTTATTTTTAATTTTATTTAATATTTATACTGTTTGGAAGTGTTGCTTCCTTTTACAACACTAAAGAATTTTTATAGTTACTCCAAATATGAAGTGAGTCATCTCTAGCCTGGCAAGGCATCCAGTAGGGAGCCTAAGTCTCCTCCCTTTCCGGTCAGCTCATGGGCTCCCGGAAGAACGAAAAAATGAAAACAAGGCAACGGGGCTAAGAGAGCTATTTCCTAATCCGCTTTGCCTTGCACCCTGGATCGCACATATGTAGTACTGGAATTTAAATGAAAAGTAATGGTGGGTGTTTCAACCACGCCAGTCACGTACTTTGAAATTTATCAGCTTGTAAAAGTTTGTAATTAGCACGACTACAAATCCGACATCGACACGTCGCATATGTGACGTCACCACAGAATCTCCTCTCCCCTAGCTTAGCTGCTACTTACCAAATAGCCAGATTTATGGTGGTTTTTCTCTCCTGAAGGAAGAATTTGAAGTTCGCTAAACGTCCAGCCATTTAGCCTTGATGACGTCACTTTCTTGAAGCGCATTTGTAGTCCTGGACTTATTGTCACACAAAACCTAAAATAGTGTTTCTCCCCGTTTGAAAATAAGCGCGTTCTTGGTATCGAAATGCGTATTTAAAATTCACGGACATCATATGTGAAATCCATGGCACATAACAAGCGGAATTAGAAAACAGCGTTTTTAGCTCCGTTGACTTGCATTCATTTTTACATTCTTCCGGGGACCCGTGAGCCGACCGGAAAGGGAGGCGAGGGTTTGTGAAACTTTTGAGTTGTTACAGTAGGGCTGGAACAAATTATCGAATGGTTCGATTGATTACATTCTTCGATTCATTTTTTTAGTGATTCGAAGCTTTGTTAAATATGCGCACCACAGTCTGAACACATTTTTACTGGCGCACTACGTGGTGATCTAGGTGCTGTGGAGGTAGAGTGTCCGCCCTGAGACTGGGAGGTCAGGGTTCGATTCCTGGTCGGGTCATACCAAAGACTTTGAAAAAAAAATGGGACCCAAGGCCTCCCTGCTTGACACTCAGCAATAAGGGGTTGGATTGGGGGGTTAAACCACCAAATGGTTCCCGAGCGTGGCTGTGTCTGCAGCTCACCACTCCCCCAGGGGATGGGTCAAATGCGGAGAACAAATTTCACACACTTATCAGCGTGTGTGACAACTAATGGGACTTTTTTAACTAACTTTTAAAATGGAGAAACCAGCAAAGACCGAGACCATTGTAAAAGGCATAAATGTGTCCAAATCTTGGTGCCTGTCATGTTTTCACTTATTTTCTCACCTTTCTGTAGCACCGGCTGTGTTTTCTCTCTCTCCTCTTTTACTGATTTGTCCCCACCAATATTTACAGGTCCCATTAGTTAATGTAATAATTGTGCCAGGGATTTTGTGCCACCCCTCTCCCTGCTTTCACAGCGATTGAAGGTGCGCTGCAACCCCCACCCCCTGTCTCATGTAAATCAGGGACACACTGTGTGTGTGTGTGTGTGTATGTGTGGTGCGCAACGCGCTTACATCTTCCAATTTTTTAATACCTCGGGAGCTAGGCCTGAGAGCCGTCTCGTTCAGCGTCAGCCTGAAGAAGCCGGCAGCAGTTGGCAAAACTGTAGCGTCAATAACAGGTAACAAAACCGTTTCTGTGTTTTAAAAAAGAACGACAACTTGGAATTAGAAATAACGCACAGCAAGAACACAGCTAAGATGAATTCCATAGCACCGACCGAGCACTGATTCACGTCGTTTCAAACTGTGCCTCGTTTCGGTACCTGTCCATCATAACGAGAACTTGCCAAGACAGCTGCGCATGCGCAAGAGCGTTATGTCGTCGCTCGCTGCGAGCGAGTTGTAAACAGAGCAGCATGGTAGAAAGAACGCACGCTAAAGCTTGGGTCCACTTCACTAAATGTGATGGGTAACTGGGTGATGATGAAACCAGCGACAACGATCTAAGTGAGACATCCTCATCTTAATCTGCTCCCGTAGGTAAATATAATTAGCTTGATATGTTAGCTTCCGTTTCGCTAATGGTGCGTTGGTTTTCTCCTCGGAACTCCGAATTCCCGACTAGAAGAACATGAACGTGCTCTAAAGTTTGGCTTCACTTTACTAAATGTGATGGGTGAAGATGAAACCAGTGACAACGATCTAAGTGTGAGGCATCATCGTTTTAATCTGCTCCAGCAGTTAAATAAACTGTTTAAGATAACGTTAGCTTGGTATGTTAGCTTCCTATGCCACCATTGTTATCAGCTAATGGTGCGTTCGCTTTCTCCTCTGAAATTCTAACTTCCCAGTAGGAAAAATCAAAAGAAAAAGGACGGTAAAAGGAATGAAGATAACCAGTAAATTTAGTTCACAGTAAAGATGTTTGCTTCAGTTTAATTATCAGCTTATAAAACTACAAGGACGATGTTAAAATACAAACAGTTGAATGTTATTTATCGTGATATTTATCAAATATGGTTATATATTGAGAAAAATATATATTTAATTATAAAAGAGAATTAAAATATTAAACACTCAAAAGTATCGAAAATTGGTACCGTTAAGTACCGGTATCGATTCGTAGGTACCGGGAATTAGTACCGAATCGATTCAAATGTCAAAGGTACCCATCCCTACCAGAAATGTTTCTAAGTTGTTAAAGAAGGGGGTCTGAAAGATTTTTAGAAATGGTGACAAAGTTGACTATGCTGTTGGGATGTGTGCTCGATTTGCAACTTGGAGTAAACCGCGTGGGAGGAGCAAATAATCGTCTTGTTTTTAATAATCGTTCAAAATCCAGATCGTAATTGTGATTAAAATTCTATTAATTGAGCAGCCCAACTTTAAAGTTAAAACATGTGTATGCCCAAATGATAGCCTTTCTACATGAAAATGAGATACTACAGATTTTTCAGTCTAGGTTTAAGTCTCCATAGTACAGAATCAGCCCTGTTGATGGTTTTGAATGATATCCTGATGGCAAACGATTCTGGGGAGGCTGTTGTTTTGGTGCTCTTGGACTTGACTGCGGCATTTGACACCATAGACCACAATATCCTGATTGGTCGACTGGAGCACTGGGTGTGAATATCAGGCTTAGCACTGCAGTGGATAAAATCTTACCTGTCAGGGAGGAATTTTTGTGTAAGACTGGGCGACTGTTCGTCTGATACTGCTGATTTGGAATGTGGAGTGCCTCAGGGATCCGTCCTGGCACATCTCCTCTTTTCCCTCTATCTGCTGCCGCTGGGTGACTTGTTTCGTCGGCACAACGTCAAGTTTCACCTATATGCGGATGACTGTCATATCATACCAGTATCATGCAATAACTCAAGTTCTTTTAAACCACTCTTGGACTGCTTGGAGGAGGTCAAGTTATGGCTCAGAATTTATTGTTCTTCAACCAGAATAAAACTGAGACTATCCTGTTCTGCCCGAAATACAAACATGGATGTGCCCAAGGGATTGACTCTCCTTCATTAGCACCTTTTGAGAAGGCTGTGGTCACCCACCTGGGGGTGAAGTTGGATGTAGAGCTCACACTGGACAGCCAGGTCAATGGAACAATCAGATCCTGCTATTTCCATCTCAGGAGAATAGCTAGGATTAAGCCGTTTCTTTCACGTAAACATCTGGAAACTGTCATCGACGCCTTCATTACCACCAGACTGGACTACTGTAACTCGCTTTATGCAGGCATCAAGCAGGCCTCCATAGCGAAACTGCAGAAGGTCCAAAATTCGGCAGCCAGGTTACTGACTGGTACCATGTTTATTTCTGCTGTGCAGTGCTTTGTTTGGTCCTTGGGCCATGTGAAGGCACTATATAAATAAAGTTTAGTACTAGTAGTAGTAAATGTATGGTTTATTGTGTATTTATAAAATGTTTCAGGTGTTCATGTTTAGCTCATAAAAGATGGCAGCAAAACAAAGTGCTGTGTTTATATTTTTGTTGCGTGTTTCTGCGTTGGATTTATTAAGATTATCACTTGTAAGTCGCTTTGGACAAAAGCGTCTGCTAAATACATAAACATAAGTTGTGCTTTTCCAGCTTGACACGGAGCTGAGCGGCATCGTGGAGGTCCTCGGTGTGGTCTCCAACAAAGGATGCATCATGGCCACCATGCACAACCTTCTGCAGGAGAACAAGGCCATTCCCTTTGGTATGTTAAGCTGTGGAATAATGCAGGAGGATTGTATTCCTCATCAGGAATGATGGTCTCGTGTCTTCTACAGATCTAGAGCTGTACAACCAAGCGCTGAAGGTCATCCATGATTTCCCTCAGCACTACCCTTTCCAGATGGCTGCCAGCGGCTGATCCTGGCTCCTGGAGTTTGTGTTTGTATGTTTCATTGATGTTGTGGAAAAACATTTGTTCAAAGTATTGCAATAAAGTTTTTTGAAGTGAGTTTTCTGTAATTATTACAATGATTAAAGAGGCAATATCATAAAAAACGGACTTTTTTGTTTATATTTAAACACATGATATTATTTCCTCGTGAGAAACCAAAACTCTGTTTTGGCTGCATTCATACAATTTCCTGCTGCATCTCGAGTTCTTTCCATTTAACTTTCTTTCCTGCATCCAGGAGAAAGTACCCCACTTGCTTCACCAAGCACTTCTCCCCGACGCTAAGCTCGGTTTTGAAATCCGCCTCTCCTGGAAGTAGGTCACTGATGCCAATTTTCCCCACTGACCACTGCCTGGTGGTGAGTTGGCATCGATGGTGGGGGAGGATGCTGGTCAGACATGGCAGACATAAACATATGGTGAGGGTCTAACCATGGCCAGCCCTTGGGGGCGCCATTGACCTGAAGGACGAGACAAATTTGAAGATGACAAAGTAGACATTCTGGACAGAATATAGATGCTTTGAGAGGGAAGCCATTTATGTCAAATAGGAAAAACTTACATTAAATAGGAAGGCCTCAGGTTTCGCCTGGGAAACACCTATACTGCGCCTCTGAAAACCGTTTCAGTCTAGGTCACACCATCCTGCATCTGATCAATACAATTCCTTCACAATAGAGACTCATCAGGAGGTAGGGTGGAGAGATATGCATGGGCAGTTTCTGCTCATTGAGCAACAAGCTTGACCTTCCCATGGTCATATTTTGGCAAGGCTCCTCAGATGAGAAGTGAAACGTCTTCATAAAAACCAAATAAGTCCAGTTGCCTTCATTTAAACCGCTTTAGGTCATCATTCTTTTTTTGTTTGTTTGTTTTCTATTTTTTTCTTCTGTATCCTCAACAGCTGTGTGTGTTTCCAAGAACACTATCTTCTAATTGGCTGTCTTCCTCGTGGTCAATGAGGCTTTGTGTGTTATGTCATGAATGGTTGGAGCTCAAACGAGTGGAGGTGGGGTTTCACTGAATCAAGTTGTTTAAGTTCTGGGTGTAAATTCAGGCTGACAAAAATAACGCATAAATGACATTTAAACACTGCCGATCATTACTGAGCCTGCATTTGCTCTGAGAGGTGTAAATAGCATGATACTGCTCCTTTAAAGTGACGGTGTGTATTTTTCCTGGCGATAGGGGGCAGTCGATGCCTAAATCATTGCAAGCAAGCAGTATTTTTGTGTTGAAGTAAGACCTTCCCAATGGATGCCCGTTAGGGTCAAAAAGTCCTTTGGAGTGCAAACTTCAACAAAATTACAAGCACACCAGGCTGCCTTTCATCACTGGCAACAAGTGCAGAGGTAAATATGTAAAACAACGTTTGCTATAAATGAGTAAATGCATTTCGTCCTCATGGGCTCCCGTAGAAGGAAGCGCGCCATCTAATATGGTGTCGTCCAGAGACTTATACCCGCTCCCATGAATTTTAGACCTAATTTTTATGGTTATATGTTATGAAGCCGCCAATATTTTTCAACAACTGGATGCCATTTCAGTCATTTTCAACAACATTTTGACAGATATTTCCAGAAATTAATGGTAAGAACTACACATTGTCTCTTTAATGTGTCATAAATGTTTTATGTCTTGCAGTAGAGAACTGAGGTTTGTAAGTCTGCCAGCATTATGAAGGTGGGACACTAAGGACTGGTTCTGGTTACCAGCAGCCTAACTGAAAACATTAGTCCAGTCTAGCTGGAGTTTGTTATCTAGTTTGACCTCATGGTGGGAGCAGATTATTCAGCCTGTCTGCTGAGGATTCATCAAAACATTTAGTACCAGAGGGAAATAAGATTTAATCACATTAAACTTTTTCTTCACACCGCTCATAAACTGATGTAAAAACAGATTTCAGAAAGGTTAAACTGCATTTTCACTTATTAGTTTGTTTGCCATTTCTTTACTGGACAGTCAAAAGATCAAGGACTCTGGTGAGGTGGCCAAATGAGAGTGGATGATGCACCGCCCCTACGGGGGACCCGTTTTAGCCACTTCCTCACAATCAGAAGCCACTTTTCAATGCCAGCAGGAGCCCTCATTGGATGGGACCCCCACCAGGACAGTGTAGAAGAGAAAAATCAAACTACTGGGGAGAACACTTTATGAGAGGTAGGGGCCACAGAGGAGGCCGTTTCCATCGGGGGGGGGGGGGGGGGGGGGGCGTAGAGGCCCCAGAGGACAACAGAACACGACAAACACGCTTTCTTGACAATCTTTGTGAGTAAAAAAAAATGTAGAAACAAAAACGAACAGCGTGTGTTATTAGGGAAATAGCGAGCGGCGTTGATGCAGGATTGCGCATGCGCCGTGAGCGGTTCTGGTACTTTTTGGGTCGCAGCTGCTCGCAGCGCTGCTTAAACAGTGCGATACCCTCACGAGGGATGAGCAAAATTTTAAACACGCCAGAAGTCCGTGCGACCTCACGACTGCTGATCGGCAGCTGGTCACGTGGTGTTAATCGCCTCTCGTAATCCCCGTACACTACATGACGCTCAGCGCAAAACTCGCCCCGATCTCGTGGATTCTCGCACGACTGGAAAATCGGCTCAAAAAAGTGAAAAAGTCGCACAGTGTACGCCCGGCTTAAGTAGAATGGATGGTCTCAAGGTTCAGCAGCACTATCTGGTTCTCCATTAGGACCCACTCAGTTCAGGGTTAGGATTCTGTTTCAGTGTTTGGGCCTTTTTGGCCACTTTGATATTTGACCTTTGACCCGTCATCATTGCACCTGTTTTCTCTACACAGTTACGTACAAGAGGCCCATCTTTCACCACTTCATGATGAAGGGAAGCTGCACGTATGAGTGCCGCTGTGCCTTTTACCACTTGGGTGTATAAAGCATTTTAGGGGCGATGGTGGCACAGGAGTTAAGTGCTCGCCCCGTAATCGGAAGGTTGCAGGTTCGAGCCCCGCTCAGTCTGTCGCTGTCGTTGTGTCCTTGGGCAAGACACTTAACCCACGTTGCCTGCTGGTGGTGGTCGGAGGGACCGGTGGCGCCAGTGCTCGGCAGCCTCGCCTCTGTCAGTGTGCCCCAGGGCAGCTGTGGCTACATTGTAGCTCATCTCCACCAGTGTGTAAATGTGTGTGTGAATGGGTGAATGACTGATTGTGTTGTAAAGCGCCTTGGGGGGTTCCAGGACTCTAGAAGGCGCTATATCAAATACAGGCCATTTACCATTTACCATTTTAATGCATTGTAATATTGCCCAATACCACTAGATGGCGCAGTTATTGTGTTCAAATGTGAACCAGCACAGTGTGAGAATGCTTTGGAGCTCTTCATGAAGCTTCAATGGCTCACCACTGCAACCAAGCTGGTGAAGCAGCTGAGTAAAAGCGTACACGCTGAAGGTGAGTCTTCTCCTCATTCAGAACCGCCGGTTGGGTTCCAGCAGAGCTGCTTGTGTAAGGCTGACTGTTTCAGACCGGAGAAAGCCGGCAGCTGTTCTCGTTGATGGATGGCTATGATCCACTCTGAGAGCATCTCCAGCAGCTCTCCTGCTTGTAAAAAGAAAAAAATAATCTTTTATGTAGCGCCTCTCAAAGTAAAAGTCAGAAGGTGCTTCACAAGAGAAAAAACAATACAATACAATAAATGATTATAAAATATGTTTAAAATTAGAAGAAGAGAAACAAAATTTAAATGTGATTAAAATATGCAGAGAAAGAGAAAATGAATAGGAAAGAGGGAAGTCATTAGATCCTGGGAAAGGTGGAATTGGTAGAAAGAGCAGAACAAGGAGAGGGTGATGAATGTCCTGCTAGATGGTACCACCTCACCTTCTCTCACCGTACGCAGGGCATCTTTTAGACCCTCCCAAGGAGTTCTGGAGGACAGGACAGGCTTCCCTCATTTGGATCAGACCCTGGTTTGGGATATCTATCTATCTATCTATCTATCTATCTATCTATCTATCTATCTATCTATCTATCTATCTATCTATCTATCTATCTATCTATCTATCTATCTATCTATCGTATATCTATCTGTCTGTCTGTCTTTCTTTTTATACACACACACACACACAATATATATATATATATATATATATATATATATATATATATATATATATATATATATATATATATATATATATATGTATGTATATAGATATATAATTGTATCATCATTTTTTTCCAGGGTTGAGGGGGCTTTCACCACCCTTTGGGGGCACCACTGTCTGCCAGTTGTGTTCCTTCCTAACCCCTGTGTGTAAATGCAGCCAATGAAAGTTTATATTGCTGCTGATACCATGTTACTGTAATGGTAAATGTTCCTGCTGAGTTCACTAGTGTAACTTAAATATTAAAGAGCATAAAAACAAACCAGAAATCAGTTTGTAGACATCTGACTGCTGACCTATTAAGACTGTTTGTGTCTTAGATCATTCATTTACTCTCCATTACAGTGCAATCACTGTATGAAAGTTGACTATTTCATTTTATTTTATTTCATTTTATTTTATACATGGTGGATGGCATGAATGCTACATATCTATAATCCTGAAACCTGAGTGATGAGCGTGCAAAGACACACACATTGGACACTACTTCAAAAAGGAAGTCTAGAAACAAGGAAAAATCTGCCACTCCGGAGAGGGTTAGGGTTAGGGGTTATAACCTCTACCCATTTGCCTCTGAATCTGTGTGTGTGCCACTGTGAGTACAGATAATTCAGGGTATCTGAGCAGGTATCAAGGAAGTAAGCCTTTCTAAATCGGCAGATCTATAGTCTGCAAGTTAGGTGAGATCATCCAACAGACTTTAACACCTCTCTTTGTGAAGCCTAAGCCTGAAGTGTGCATGACGCTGATCATGAGTTTAATTTGACTGAGCTGAACATCCAACACTAGACTGTGGCTGAGCAGTTTAATACTCATACTAATGGAAGGGTTTGATTGATTGCATGGATAATTGTGATCGTTTTTGTAGAGTTCACCTGCATCGCTGTGAAGAGCCTGCAGCCTCTGTGACTCGACAGCAGGATTCTGTGGTTGGGAAACCCAACAGACAGGCAATGGATCTTTGTGACGTAAAGGCAAATAAATGTAAACACATACTCGTAGGAACAAGTCAGGATTTATTCAAAAAACATCAAAAATACACCTGAAGTAATGAACATCCTCAACAGAAAGATGGAGACCATATTCTGAAGGTCTGTGGTGGTTCTGTCTGCTGGTAGATAGCTGCTTACAGCTCAGACTTCAGCAGCTTTTTAGCCTTCTGCATGTTGGTGATCACTGAAAGAGAGAGACCAGGAACATTACATACAAACACACACACACACACACACACACACACACACACACACACACACACACACGCACGCACACACACACACACACACACGCACACACAGGCGCGCATGCAAATACACACAGCATACACAAACACACACATACACACCCAGGCACACACCCACACACACATAAACACATATACACACCAAGGTGTGTACACACACACATATGCACATGCATGTGCAAACATATATAGGCACACATACATGCACACCTAGGCGTGCATGCACACACGCATGCATGCACATACGTACACACATACAAACATATACACTCACACACTCACATACTTGTATTTATATGATTACCATAACCAATGGGATTCTATTTCTAACCCAAACCTAAACTAACCTAAACTATGTGTTCATTCACACCAAACCTCTAAACCCAAATGTTTGCGTTGTGTGGACCAGCAAAATGTCCCCACAATGTGAAAATGTCCAAATGTTACAGGTAAAAGTCAAAATATGTCCACTTAAACATCTAACGACAAGTACACACACACACACACACACACGCACGCACGCACGCACACACACACACACACACACACGCACGCACACACACACACTAGCTAGTCGAAAACACCTACATAGTTTGATGTCTCCAGTTTCATAGGCGTACATGCGATTGGAGTAACGGCCAGTGATGTCAGCTCTCACCGTCATGGTGGGGTCTGTGGGGGGGAGGGGCACTCATTAAAGAAGACACAGAAATGTATAACCTCTACCCATTTGCCTCTGAACCTGTGTGTGTGTGTGCACGTGCGCATGCATGTGTGTGAGGCCAGCACAGGGGATTTGTGTCTGAAGTGTACATCCACACACATCCTTGGCATGTGGATTCTTCCACATAAAATTCCATCGTTACTAATTATGAACCAAATGTTGGAATTGAACTGAATTAAACTGAATGAATAATACACCAACTATCTTTTTAACTCGCACACGTTCATACAAGTGTTGGTCCACTGGAGACGCTGGTGACACATTTCTGATATTAAAGACATTTGTGTTCACATTAGAGACACATGAAGAATATTTGATACATCCTTGACCTGCCCAAGGCTCGGGATTAGACTGCTCACTTTCCGATTACTAACCCATCTGTGTTTAGTCATGGCCACCCCTCTAACCATTGAGTAATGACTATTAGTTACTGTAATGTCCAAGAATCGCAATGCACAAGACGGCAGCTTGATGTGGTAGTGCTGTTATGCAACATGCAAATTATTGTATTATGATTTGCTACCATAGCAACAAGAGACCTGTTTACAAGAGGGAGCAGCCAATTGACATATCAAGAGCTAAAAAATACTTAATCTAGACCCCAAATTCACAAAGACCTGAAGAGCAGGAAGGAAGCAGTGAGAGGATGTTTAAAACATCACTTCCATCAGTTATAATGGGGAATGTGTGATCTCTTGGAAACAAAACGGACGAGCTTGAAATGCTGGAGAGGACCCATCAATAAAATCAGAAATGCAAATGTTTCACTGAGACATGGCTACAGGTGTGTATCCCTGACACACCTTAATATGTCTCTGTCCAGCTTTTGAATGCAGATGCAGATGAGGATGAGAGAGTTCCTTATCTCTCCCTCTCACCTGTTGGTCTGCAGCTGGTCGATGCGCCGCAGTGGCAGCTCCCACTGGAGGCTTCAGGATCCCGCCCATCCCCGCCTCCCCATCGAACTCTGATGTTTGTATCTGTGCTGTTTGTGCTTCCATGTTAAGGAGTTTTTTTGTATAATAGAGTTGCTCCCCGCTGGGGCTAACTCTGCTATGCCTTTTTTTACCTACCCCCACTTATCCTCATGTAACACCCGTTTCATCTATCTATTAAGGTAGCGCGACTCATGATGCGAATGACCGCAGTCACCAATTCTTGTCATGTGTCTTACCCACGTATGTCTGATCTTTGAATTGTGTGTACTGAAACTCAATTTCGTTTCTCTGTATGTCCTGCACATGTGGTAGAAATGACAATAAATGACTTTGACTTGACTTGACTTGACAAATGCAAAGGAGGTGACTTACCAGTGCTCTAAAAGTCTAACAAGTCATTGTACATATGTTATTGTCTGGCCAAGACCCATCGACAGGGCTCAGTCGTGGGGCAGAATCTACAGCTGTCGTTCAAACTGTCCCTGCACTCTATTGGACAGCACAAGGACCCATCATTAAGTCAGAACAGTTGTTCCAAGTTCCCAACCAAGGTCTAGAGGTGGTCGACCTTCTTGGGACCTAAACTTTTGGAGTAATCTCCAATTACATGTCAGACAGGTGTGTTCACTTGCTGTTTTTAAATCTCACCTGAAGACACCTGAGAAGTGACGAGTTTATTTGATGGTTTTATCTTGCACACGTTTTTAACCTTTTAACGTGTTTAGTTTATTTCGGTGCAGCCCTTTGGTCAGTTCTTGGGTTTGCTAAACAATAAAGACCTTACGCTATATCCGTTTAATAGACTCACAATCAGAACTTACCAACAAAAATGATTCGTGGAACATACTGTCCATCTGGAGAGAGATGTTTGTCTGTGGTTTCATACTGAAGAAAAGAAAACGTGTGCATGTTATAGATGGAGCTTTTTCACAAGGCTGTGTTAGTTTATAGATCAGTCACAGTGGTAGAACATCAGGACAACATGATCCAACAACAGGAAACATGTGTGCACTAACTCTACTACTGAGATATAAATCATCATGAGTTGTTTAAGGAGAATTTCCAAGTTTTTTACAGATTAGCATACATTTCCTGACAGTGTGACTTACCACCAGATTGAGGACAATGAAGTCTTCATCAAGGGTTTTCTGGATCTCATTGTTCTCCGAGAACACCTTCTTTAGTGCTGTGGGGAAATATGGGTCCATCAGCTCACGGCAGCAGAACAGAACCAAGGTGTGTGAAGTGATGTCATTTCAAAACAAACCAATTGCTAATTCGTCTCCAAACCATTGCTTTCCTAATCATAATGTTTCTGTCTCTGTAAATTGACAAAACAATTGGTTCCACCCACCCTGGCTGTGTGGGCAGTCCTCCAGGTGGAACAGAACCATCAGAGGCTTGTTCCTGAAACACAAAACATTTCACTTCAACCTCAGTTCCAAGAATTCTCCACTAAAACTGTACTTTATCTGTTAGTTACTTGGATCGGGACCAGAAGAGAGCCTCCTCATACGTCTGAGCCCAGATCAGCTGGTCCCCCCACCCTAGACAGGATGGACATCAGTCAGTCTTGGTTTCACCTTCACAACTATCCCATTACAGACTCAGCATCTGCTGTTTGCCACTAACCTCTGGACAGAGTCTGTGGAATCCTTTTTCCTGTCTTTGGAAAATATTTGGCAAAAGCTGAGGACACGGTCACAAAAACCAGGAGAGCAGCAAACACTGCCTTCATTGTTCTGAGGGGAACTGAATAACCAGGTGAAAGGTTAAACACCAACGGTTAACAAAAGGTTTACATCACTAGACAATAATCAAAACTAAACTAGGAAAATGCCAGCTTAATCAATCTGATTATCAGGTTAATTGGAATGAAGATGTGTGTGAATGAGATCAGTGTGTTAACTGTGATCATTGACTCTATTTTAATCAGTGATAGTTACCTATGGTGGTAACCAGTCAGAGGTAACCAGTGATAGATAACTACAGAGTTAACAGTGACCCCTTCTTTCCGCTACACGTCAAAACGTCGCAAAACGGCCATGAAACGGTCTGCGGGGCAATTAGCCGGTCTTCTAGTGGATGAGTTCCTTTCCACCGGCAGCCATGTGGGACGTTTTGAAGCGAGGGCATGCTATCATTACCTTTCAAATCTACATTTGACGTGCTATGCTCCCAAAACACGTCAAACTACGCAGTTTAGATCAAGTAACACAGGAAGTCAAACACAAAAGAGCCATAGAACACCCAGAAACCTTCAAAATAAAGGTCATGTGCAGTATGCCATTTCCTGTAAACTTTTGTGACCGATGTAAGCGGAACAGAAAATAACGCACAGACATTTTTTCATGCATGCAGCTGTCTCTCTTTTTGTTTATTATTGTATGTGAATGTCTGAAATCACGTGTGGTGTTGCAATTCTTCCGTGATTTTGTGAAGTCACTTGATGAGCTGTGTGAAATGCTTTCATTTCCGTTTCACGTCAGAATTGCTACTGGATGGGAACAAGCTCTCGGGTGGAACGCCGCTATTACGTTACGCAACGGCCAGTGGAATGCCGGGGTCAGAGTTCACCAGTGATAGTTAACTCTACTATTGTGTGTGTCTGCTCTGTCTTCTCGATCCCCAGTGAGTCGTGGAGGATGGCTGCTTATACTGAGCCAGGATTCTCTGGAGGTTTCTTCCTGTTAAAAGGGAGTTTTCCTCTCCACTGTTGCTTTATGCTTGCTTGGTATGAGGATTGCTGTATAGTCACTGACACTAGTCAGTGACTTGATGCAATTTGCTGGGTTCCTTATATAGGAAACATTATTTCTGATTGGCTTAATGAACTGACCTGAATTGGAATTTTTATTATGTGAAGTGCCTTGAGATGACTCTTGTCGTGATTTGGCGCTATATAAATAAACTTGAATTGAATTGAAGGTAGAGAAATGGGCCTGGGCGGGATTCGATCTCCAGACTCCCGGGTGAGAGTTACGCGCGATAACCAGTCAGCCAAAGGGACATCCCCCTGGAAAGTAGCCTGGGCGCATGATCAATCGGGATACAGTGACACTCACCCTGTCACACTATGAACCAGTGATCTTACAGTGCAAACTGTAGTAAAAACCGACCTGATAATTATTGGTATACTTTTGAAAACATGTATTAAATTCTCTAAAGAAAACAAAACTGTGAACTCATCCATCTCTCCATCACATTCACACTCACAGTTAATGTGGTGTTATTGTGGTTTGGATCAGAACCACTGACCGGACCACTCACAGAATGATCAGATCCATTTTAAGGAATGCAAATCTGTGGTTTAAACAATGTTTCACTAACTCACTCATTTGAGTTTTTTCTTAAACTGTTGTCTTTTATTTTGTAGGTGTTGTAATAAATCAGCTTGTTGTCTGATAAATTTGCTGGTATCTTAAGGAATTACTAAGCCCTCTTCCTTTCTGACCCACATGTAGCTGTTAACTTTATTAATGTCAGAATGAACCCTACAGCTTACCTGGATCTGATGGTTCAGACGAGATGAGGTGGATGGCAGATCTTTGGTACCATGAGCTGCAGCTGTCCCGTTTTAAATTCCTGGTCCCTGAGGCCCCGCCTTCTTCCCTCCCAGAAATCCCTCTCTGGGACACACTGGGGTTTGTTTGCTAACTTAGCTGAGGAGAGGTGTAAGGTTTCTGTTTCTCTAAGAAATCATGGTTGTCCAGAATCAGCACAACTTCAGAGTCTGATTACAAGACTATAATTGATCAGCTCTGATATCAGGATGAAGATTTGGGTACTGACTGAAGAACAAACTGATCGTGACTGAAATTCCTGAACTTGACTGGTTCTGGGATCGCACTGGTGGGAGAGACTTGTGTCCAACCTCTGGAGAATAAACCTAATGATAATGATCATGCTCCTCACACACCTGTGTGTGTGTGTGTGTGTGTGTGTGTGTGTGTGTGTGCGCGCGCGTGCGCGCGTGCGTGTGTGCGTGTGTGTGTGTGAGTGTGTGACTCAGAGGAGGTGTTTGGCCCAAATCCAAGGAGTCAGTGTTTAGAGTCTGATTGCTGACTGGTCTTCTTGTGATTTGCTTCTCGTGTCTGTTTGCTGTGGAGCGCTGCAGCCTGAAGACGGATACAGACCAGGAAGAGCCAGAAATTCCACCTTTAAAGAAAATTGTTTGCTCATAATTGTGCTTATTAACATTCAAACATTTCACCTTTATCACAAAGCAAACGGGTTGAAAGGTGGAGTAACTGTAACGATCAGAGTCTGCTTCTGTGTGCTGCAGGACTTCCAGGACAATACCAGCTCTGTTCCTCCTGCTGCCAGTCCCGACACACAATCTGCCTCTGCTGTAGACTGTCCAAGTCTTTATAAAGTGTTTGAGGAGTAACATCCCCAAATCCCCCACCCTTAAAGTCGCATTAACCAAGCATCTTAGAAGATTATGTGATTGATGTCTGATGTTCCTTTGATGGAAAGTAAAGGAAGTGATTAAGGGTTCAGGAGGGACAACAACCTGCTGAATGTTGTTGCTTCTAAACCTGTATGCCTTGCTAATGAGGCATTTGGACAGGGAGGATGGTGTGAATTCCGTTTGTAACTGAGATAACTTTATTAGGAATAGTGATGAGTCATCACCACTGGAGGTTACAGAAATGCATTGCTCAAAAGAGCTAGAGACTTAGTTTTAGCCAGCTTAGTCCAGTTTGCCGATGTGTGAAAACATATGCAAACATGCATCCATATAGATAGATAGATAGATAGATAGATAGATAGATAGATAGATAGATAGATGATAGATAGATAGATAGATACATAGATAGATAGATACATAGATACATAGATAGATAGATAGATAGATAGATCGATAGATAGATAGATAGATAGATAGATAGATGATAGATAGATAGATGATAGATAGATAGATAGATACATAGATAGATAGATACATAGATACATAGATAGATAGATAGATAGATAGATAGATAGATTGATAGATTGATAGATAGATAGATAGATAGATAGATAGATAGATAGATAGATAGATAGATAGATAGATAGATAGATTGATAGATTGATAGATAGATAGATAGATAGATAGATAGATAGATAGATAGATAGATAGATAGATAGATACCGTAAATCCTCTAATACAGGCCGGCATTCAATTAAAGGCCGGGTCTCCAATTTTGGCCGGTGTCGGCGGAGGTGAATAAAGGCCGGCCTCTGATTGTGGCCGGGTGGAATGTGGTAACAAGCAAGTACGGGGGCGGTTGTGTCATCGTCTCACTTTTGATTTGCCAGTGATAGACCGCGAGGGTAACTTTAACCGTGCGGAGACGAAGAGGAGGCTGTGCCAGAGCGTCGGTACTGACACGCAATCGTTCATGTCGGTTCATTTCCTTTAAAGATTTCTGTCTTTTATTTCCGCCTGATGTGTTTCGCTGCAAGCTGTGGAGCGGGGCACATCACCTTGTCCTCGGGTGACGCACCGATTACTGATGCGGCTGCCAAGTACGGAGCACTCCGCTGTTTTTGCGGTCTGTAGATCTGCCTCCTGAGCACAGCCACAGTAACAATCAGGTGTCGCCACCTCAAAAAATTATTTAACACGCAATCGTTCATGTCGGTTCATTTCCTTTGATGTTTTCTGTCTTTTATTTGCGCCTGATGCGTTTGGCTGTGGAGTGGGGCGCATCACCTTGTCATCCGGTGACGCACCGATCACGCGAACACCAAGCAGGGAGCACTCCGCTGTTTTTGCGGTCGGTAATTTGCCTCCTGAGCACGGCCACACTGTAACAATCAGGTGTTGCCAAATTATTTAACACGCGATCATTCATGTCGGTTCATTTCCTTTTATGTTTTCTGTCTTTTATTTGCGCCTGATGCATTTTGCTGTGGAGCGGGGCGCATCAACTTGTCATCCAGTGACGCACGCACCGATCACTGATGCGGCCGGCAAGCAGCGAGCACTCCGCTGTTTTTGCGGTCGGTAAATCTTTTAGAACTGCAGTTCAAAGGTAACTCATAAGGTGAATATATATGAACCCAGGTAGCAGTTTCTCTTTAGGATTGAGAGGAGATGCAGGAAGATAATAAACAGACAGGACAGAAAAATAGTCAAATAAAAACAAGTTAGTTTTTGTACCTGGTGGTTGCAACAAACAGACACCATTGAAGGTAATCAGAAGTGAGGAACAGAAAATGAAATAATTATTTTAATGTTTAGAGCAGCAGGAACTCTGAGAGGCTGCAGGCGCATCAGTGAGTTTGCGGCTGCTATGCAGGGGGAGGGGGGAGATGGCTGAAGCAGAAACTACCGTTGTTAAAAGAAATGTGTTTAACTTTGAAAATGTGGGCGCAATTTTACTTGTCAAAAACTCCAGCGAACCATTAGTTCACTTTGCTCAAATAGAAATAGAGGCCTGCCTCTAATACTGGCCCTCCTTCCAATAAAGGCCTGGAGTTTGATGAGCTTGAGTCAAATACAGGCCCGGGCCTGTATTAGAGGATTTACGGTAGATAGATGATAGAAACCCCAGTAGATCCGCTCATGGTGGTACTCAGTAGTTCGTTCTTTATCCCTATTCATGTTACCACCCTCTATAAATACTCTGCCATCTCTTTCCACAAAGTTTTATTACTTTATTTTCTCAAACTGTGCATACATTCTGTATACTGTTATAATGGTTCAAGTATTTCTGTGTTATGTTTGTCTTGTTATTTCATGGTTTTGCCTTGCCTAACTTTGACACCAACATTTGCCAACTGGGGCCATTAAATGGATTTTCTATTTTATTCTAACAAGGCAATGAAGAAGAAGAAGATGAGGAAGACAAAGAAAGAGACTTTTTTTTACATAACTCCTCCCAAGATAAAACCATGCGGTGCTTCACAAGAACAAAAAATAAAAACAATAAATTAATTTAAAAATCTGTTGTAATTAAATATTGGGAAAAAAAAAATAATTTGATTAAAATGGAAGTCCGAGTGGGCCTTGTTCCACTCTGCGATTGTCGAGGCGGCTGTTGCTAGCTGTGGTCGTAAGGTGGCCGGTGCCAGTCGTGGTGGCAACCCCCGTACCCGCTGGTGGACACCAGAGGTTCGGGGAGCCGTCAGGCTGAAGAAGGAGGCCTACAGGGCGTGGCTGGTCAGTGGGTCTCCGGAGGCAGCAGACAGGTACCGGATAGCCAAGCGGGGTGCAGCAGTGGCAGTTGCCGAGGCAAAATCTCGGGCGTGGGAGGAGTTTGGTGAGGCCATGGAGAAAGACTATCGATCGGCTCCAAAGAGGTTCTGGCAAACTGTCCGGCGCCTCAGGAGAGGAAGGCAGCAACTCGCTCACACTGTTTACAGTGGGGATGGGGAGCTGCTGATGTCAACTGAGGCTATAGTCGGACAGTGGAAGGAATACTTTGAGGAGCTCCTCAATCCCACCAATGCGCATTCCGAGGATGAACCAGAGCTGGGAGGCCTGGGGATGGACTGTCCGATCTCGGGGGCAGAAGTTGCTGAGGTAGTCAAACAACTACACAGCGGCGGAGCCCCGGGGGCGGATGAGGTTCGTCCTGGGTATCTCAAGGCTATGGATGTTGTGGGGCTGTCATGGTTGACACGTCTCTACAACATTGCGTGGTCATCGGGGGCAGTTCCTAGGGAGTGGCAGACCGGGGTGGTGGTCCCCATCTTTAAGAAGGGTGACCTGAGGGTGTGTTCCAACTATAGGGGGATCACACTCCTCAGCCTCCCTGGAAAGGTCTACTCCAAGGTACTGGAGAGGAGGGTCCGATCGATAGTTGAATCTCAGATAGAGGAGGAGCAATGTGGTTTTCGTCCTGGCCGTGGAACTGTGGACCAGCTCTATACCCTTGCAAGGGTGATGGAGGGGGCATGGGAGTTTGCCCAACCAATCCACATGTGCTTTGTGGATTTGGAGAAGGCTTATGACCGTGTCCCCAGGGGCACCCTGTGGGGGACGCTCCAGGAGTATGGGGTGGGTGGCTTTCTGTTAAGGGCCATTCAGTCCCTTTACCAGAGGAGCGTGAGTTTGGTCCGCATAGCCGGTAGTAAGTCGGACCTGTTCCCAGTGAGGGTTGGACTCCGCCAGGGCTGCCCTTTGTCACCGGTTCTGTTCATCACTTTTATGGACAGAATTTCTAGACGCAGCCGTGGTGTGGAGTGTGTCGAGTTTGGTGGCAGGAGAATCTCGTCTCTGCTTTTTGCGGATGATGTGGTCCTCCTAGCTTCATCCAGCTCTGACCTTCAGCTCTTGCTGGGTAGGTTCGCGGCCGAATGTGAAGCGGCTGGGATGAGGATCAGCACCTCCAAATCTGAGACCATGGTTCTCGACCGGAAAAGGGTGGCTTGCCACCTCCGGGTCGGGGGAGAGGTCCTACCTCAAGTGGAGGAGTTTCAGTATCTCGGGGTCTTGTTCACGAGTGAGGGTAGGAGGGATCGGGAGATCGACAGGCGGATTGGTTCGGCGTCTGCAGTGATGCGGACGCTGAGCCGATCTGTCGTGGGGAAGAGGGAGCTGAGCCAGAAAGCCAGGCTCTCGATTTACTGGTCGATCTACGTCCCAATCCTCACCTATGGTCATGAGCTTTGGGTAA